GGGGCCGCGCGGACCGGGACCCTTAGACTGGCTAAACGCCGGCCCCGCCTCGGCGCGCTACCTTTAATCTGGGTAAGGAGAGGGTCTTGCAGGATTTTCTTCTCACTGCCTCTCCTGTCGCCGCGATGTAGCTCTTACAAAAAGTTGTGCTAAAAAGCTTACTGCAGCCGAGAATCTGACAACAAAAGCGACTAGCCTTTCTGGATAAAATAGCTGTGCGTTTTTTCGGGCAGTAATTTATTTACTAAGTTTAGAAAGGCGCCAACAGCTCTTTCTCACTAGCCAGTTAGATACCCGCTTCACTTTCTGTGCAGGCACATAAACACCGTGACACATCACGCCATACATACCCCAGTAACCCACACTTGGGGGAGGAAGGAAAGGGAAATGAACTGACATTTGTTAATTGCTCACAATGGCTCAAGCACATACCAGACGCTTGTACATGACATCTCTTTAGAATCTAAATGTGCACATTTATTTATTTATTTTTGTATTACTGGAAGGAGATGGTAGATAAAACAGTAAGGACATGACAACCTGACATAACCAAGATTTATTTATTCATTCATTCATGTATTGGTTTAACAATTATAGGGCCTATTATGTACCAAGCACAGTTCTAGGTACTGAGAATGCAGTGGTCCACAAAACGTAGAAGGTCCTTCCTCTTGGATCCTGTGTTTTATCCAGCAGGCAAGCCTCACTCATCTTGCCCTTCCTAATGACAATGTAATGGTTGTTCATCCCCTTAAGTCACACTCTTCAGGGTCCCCATTTCTGGATCCCAGGTCTGGATCTTTATGAAATTGAGGTAGGAGACAGAATGCGAGAATAGGAAGGGCCCTGGCACAAGAGCTTTCTGCCTGTCCAGGGAACAGATCATTTGACCTTAGGCAAGATTCTTAAATGACTAGTTTTCTCATCTGTAAAATCAAAGATTTTCAATTAAATGTTCAAAAAGTTCCCTCTCAGGTCTACAACTGGCCTCAAAAGATGCCATCTTTTCCAGTAGACCGTGTGCTTTATTTCTTGAGAAATAGTGACTGATACATGGGATCTAATTCAATTTATTAGGAACAGGGTGCACCTTCCAATACAACTGGGTCTGCTGCTCCCCGGCAACTAGCTAAAACAGTACCTCTGTACTAAGTGTAATGTCTGTATTACTTTCTAGGATGCTGCCCCATCAGCTGCTGAAATCCAGGCTGAAGTTATCAAGTTCTTGCCTACTAAAAATGGCAAATTCTTTGCAGTTTAAAGCAAGGATCTGGGACCATTTTTAGGGTTTTTAGGATTGTGGAAGATGCTGTAGATACTGGTAAGTTTCAAGGAAAACTAGTAACTAATTTTGCAATTACAGTCACTTCTCAACAACTTTGTGGGTTAGTTTAAGGAAGGTGTGAAATTGGAAAATATAATAAAAAGTATAATATTAGTGACTTTCCAGAGTAGCCCTTGGCAGTCTTGTCTTTAAAGAGTAATGTCTAGTAGGAGAAAAAAAATGGATCATAATGCACTGCATTCAAGAACCCTGCCTCTGGCAAGAGTAATTTGCAAATGCATTTTGGGATCGTGTTTAAATGTATTTTTTTTTTCGGGGATCTAAGTGTAATGCTCCTAGAATTGGTAATACCTTTTGGGTCAGAGTTTCAATTTCCTTCCATCAGAGAATGAAAATTGTTTGTGGATTATATTGCCCATATTTGTTTCCAGTTCTCCATATTGTCTAAGTTGTAGGAGCTAATGATTAATAACCACCATAGCTCAGCACTGACTATATGCCAGGCATTTTTCTATGTTGTGTTAAAATAATATCTCATTTTACACCTATTTTACGGTGGAATAAACTGAGGCTTGAGAGGGTTATGCATAAGTGGTATAGCTAGCAAGCTGAATTTGGTCTGAGTGACTCTAAAACTTGTTCTCTTAATGGTTATACTGAAATTCTCTACACAGAATGATTCCTCAAGAAATCAAATGCTATGTATATAGCCCAAACACTTTGAAAAACTGGTAATATCTACTAAATTTAAGCGTATGAAAACCCTATGGCCCAGCAATTCATTTTCTAGGAATATATCAATGTCAAATGTATATCAAAGGTATCTATTAAACAGCTTAGAGGAACACTATTTATAATAACCCCAAACTGGAAACAACCTGAATGTTCATTAACAGTAAAATGGATAAATAATTGGTGATATGTCCATATAACAGAACATTACATAATACTAAGAGTGAACAGTCTGCTTCCAAATGCAGTAACATATATAAATCTCATTACTATAATGCTAAGTGAAAGGCAAAACTAATTTATGCTATCAGAAATCAGAATAATGGTCACTCTTGATGGGAACTAATGACTGGGAGTGGGCATAGTAGCACTTCTGGGAGGTTGGTCATGTTCTTTTTCTTGGGGTTTGGTGCTGGTTGCCCATGTGTGGTCAGTTTGTGAAAATTCAGCAAGCTGTACTATTATAATATGTGCACTTCTCTGTGTGTATATCATACTTCAATAAATTGTGTACATATCAATACCTATATAATACTTTATTTTTAAATGTATTCATAACACTACCCAAATGCTAAGCAACAGTAACATGGATAAATAAGTTATGGTTTATTTACACAACATTATACAGCGTGAATATACAATGGAATACTGTATAGTAAACCAAAATAAATCAGAGCATATCTCCCGATTTCTTATGGGGAAAATCAAAAATAAAACTTAAACTTGAAATGGGCAGTTTGAATGAGCTTCTAATTCACATCAGCAAAGTATCAGCAAAGTAGCTTAGGTGACTTTTTTGCCAAAAGATTGTAATTGATAAAGAGTAAAGCTAAAGAAATAACTCCAAAAGAGGTTTCTTGTTTAGTAGGGGAAACACTCAAGTGGTTCTGGAATACACAAAGGAAAAATCTTACATCTGTGTTCAGGAGTAAACTACTTAACCCAGGAGAGCCTCTCCAGTTGTGCAATCATTTTTTTGAATCGATGATTAATACTCAAACTACATCTTGAACATTCAACCTTGACTAGTCTGAGAATACTATTATAGCTCAACGACTGAACTGAACTCTGAGGCTTCCACTAGCAATAGCTATTTTTGGTATCAGATTTTCTAAATTACTAAATTTTTATATTCCTGTAATTCTTGCACTCTGAACTCTGCCAACATGGCAATTATTAATACATCCTTCTTGATACTACATACTGGTATATAATCCTTGAATTTAATTTATTAAGAAAATTGATTTTTAACTCAAGGCAGCTAAGGTTTATGTTTTGGTCGTTTATAACTTTCACTTGTTCTCTGTGTGTGTGTGGGTGTGTGTGTCTGCCCTGAGACCAAGGTAGACTGAGGTGGTTAATGGATCTATCTCTATGCTATTTCCAAATGAGCAAATAAGGAGACTAACACGTCGAATGTCCCTTCTTCAACCC